ACAGTTCCAAGAGAAATCTGAAGGAACAGGTTCTCAGAATTCAGGTCCACTCATGGCCTTAAATTAGTGGTAAGAGTAAGGCTGTTTTTTAATTCAGGCATAATTGTAATGTGGCTTAGAAATGCAGCATCTATCTATGTATCTATCATCATCTCTCTATTGATCTATCTTTCTATTATTTATGTAATGTTTATCTATCATCTACGTTGAGATGGGAACTTATGTGTGTTCCAAGATGATCATGAATTCATAAGCTCAAGGGATCTTCTCAATTCAGCCCATTTAAGAGCTGAGAGTACGGGCATGTGGCGACATTTTCTTCCTCGGTGCTCTAAAGTTCAATTGTGCAAATTCCTTGGAAAAATAAATTGCTAAACTTATGGAAAGGGCATAAACTGTTTTCTATGTAAGACATGGAAAATTTCAGCTTTTTCCTGTGAAATTAATTCATTAAGACTCAAGATTCAGTAGCTATATCCTTTAAATACAAGGTAAATATAGACCAAGATATGGTACAGTGCAATTATAAGTAATTATTATTAGTTGAATTGATTTATTTATTTTGAATATTTTATTTATTATTTTAATTTTATGTGTATGAGGGTTTTGTTTATATGTGTGTAAGTGAACCCACATCAAGCAATGCCCATAGGGGCCAGAATAGGGTGTCAGATTACCTAGAACTGGAGTTATGGATGGTTGGTAGCCACCAGGAGGGTGCCAGGAATTGAACCTGGGTCCTCCATAAGAACACTAAGTGTTCTGAACCACCAAGCTATCCCTCCCAGCACACACATGATGGCTCAAAACCACCTATAACTCCAGTTCCAGGGAATCACACACCTTTTTGTGGCCTCAAAGTGTTCCTGCATGCACATGGTGTACATTAACTCACACACATACATAAACACAGTAAATAAGTAGGCACACACACACACACACACACACACACACACACACATATACCTAAACACAATAAATAAATCAATCTTTTAAAAACAAATTTTGGGACTAGGTGTGTAGCTCAGTGATAATGTCCCTGCCTAGTATGTCCAAGGTTCTAGGCTCAATCCCTAGCACTGGAAAACAGGGGGAAAAAAAAAAGAAAGAAAAATTAGATGTATAGAAAAACTAATTAGGTCAGAATATTTAGAGTTGGTTTTTGTTTATCTTCTATAAACTGGTAAATATATAAATGAGATATGAAATTAAATATAGTTTAGGTGACTTAAAATTAAAAGTAGCATCTAGTGAAATTCTCAAACACAAAACTTTCAGAAGGCATGCTAAGTAAATTCAAAATTTTGAAATTTTAAAATATATGACTCAGTGAAAATAATCACGTTTCAATTCAAGGGTCTTTAAAAAGTAATCTCCCTTGGGAAATTTGAGCATGAGATTGCTTCTGAGACTGTAGCTACAAAAATGACTTTGAGTGAAAGAAGAGACTGTTTCCTTGCATTAAACCTTCAATTAATATGCACTTTCATATTCATTAAACTTGGAAACCTAGAACACACCTCTAAATCTGTCTTGTTCTGAGGAACTGACTATAGACTACCGGGAATTATAGCATTTTCCAGATCTTGCTGACATTTCTGATTTAACTCCTGTCATTTGCTCATATAATCCAAATGCTAAGTATGAATTTTAAAGGTATGCAGGGCACAGGAGATAGGCATCACACTGATAAGATTTTAGCATTTGAGGATGCAATATCAAGAAAAATGAGACTAAATATGTAACCCAAATATTGAGCTTTTCTTTCTTTTCAAAAAAAGACATATTCCAAATAATGCCCTGTGCCATTTCTAAAAATATACACTTAAACATTTTGTCATATTGATTTTCAAAAATAATCATTTTAATTTTTATGACTATTAAACTTATTTTCTGCAGATGTATACAAGTAGTTCACTTTACATTGGAAACGAAAGCATTTATAAAGAATCAAAATTCTTGTAGGATTTGAAAAGAACGGTGTGTTCTAGGTGAAAAATTAATATTCTTTTAAAAAATGTATGCTTTCCTTTATGTATCAGATTTCATATCTGTTCTGGGATAAAATACATTAATTATGGATGCTATTTCATTTTAAAATAATACGATAGGAATAAGAAAATATGAAATATGGAACTGGAGAGATGCCTCAGCCTATAGAGTACAAGTGTGAGGACCTGAGTTTGGATAGTCAGAACTCTGTAAGCAATATGCCATAGCAAGTAAGTCTGAAAGCCCAGCGATGCTGTGGGTATGGAATGATGGGTCCCTCTAGCTAATTAAATAACCAGATTTAAAGAGAGATCCTCAAGTGATCTTCTTTAAGGGAGAGACTCTCGAAAGGCTGACTGGACCCCAGTGGATGAACTTGCATGGAGGGACATCTGAAATACTAACTCGACTTGAGAAACCTTAACATATATAACAGAATGCATAAAATCCAGTGAGGAGGGCTATGGGCTCTGAGGGACAGGGGAAGTTCCAGATGAGAGAGGGGGTATAAAGATGATTAATATGTTTTATATGAAATACAAAAATATTCAATAAAAATATGTGAAAAGAAAGAAAGGAAGGAAGAAAGAAAGGAAAGAAGGAAGGAAGGAAGGAAAGAGAGAGAGAGAGGAAGAAAGAAAGAAAAAGAAAGAAAGAAAGAAAGAAAGAAAGAAAGAAAGAAAGAAAGAAAGAAAGAAAGAAAGAAAGAAAGAAAGAAAGAAAGAAAGAAAGAAAGAAAGAAAAAGAAAGAAAGAAAGAAAGAAAAAGAAAAAGGGGACTAGAGAAATGGCTCAGCAATTAAGAGCACTGGCTGCTCTTGCAGAGGATCCAGGTTCAGTTCTCATCACCTAAATGGTAGGCAACAATCTTGTATAACTACAATTCCATGGAATCCAAATCTATCTTCTGACCTATGCAGGCATTTCATGCAAGTAGTATGCTTACCTACATTTACCTACATACGTGTAGGTAAATCACACACACACACACACACACACACACACACACACAATCAAGAATGAGAAAATGAGGGGCTGGTAGAATGGATCAGTTCCTTAGAGCATGAAGACCTGAGTTTCATCCTCTTCAGACATATAAAAATGTTGAGTGCAGTGGTGGATGCTTGTAATCTAAGTGCAGGGCATGTGGAGACAAAAAGAAAAAAAAAATCCATGGAGCTCACTAGTATAACTGGTGAGCTCTTGGCCAATGAAGAACCTGTCTCAAAGGAGTTAGATGGCATTCCTAATGATGACATCCAAGGATGTCTTCTGGTCACAATAAACATGTGCATAAACATGCATTAAAAAAGAGTTAGAGAATGAAGAGAGGTGACTCAGCAATTAAGAGTGCTGACTGCTCAATTAGTTCCCAACACACACTTGGAGTGGCCTATAACTCCAGCTTCAGGGATCTGATGTCCTCTTTGTGCCTTCATGGCACCTGCACTCAGGAACGCACACACACACACACACACACACACACACACACACACACAGACATACAAATACACATCATTGAAATAATACAACTTTAAAAAATAAAGAAAATGAGGATTGTCATTTAAAAGTACCTTAGCTGTCATGGACAGTTCTGGTTAACTAATAGTCAAATATTAATCTATGAATATGCTAAAAGACTTTCTTTGATTAACACTACCAGATGGCTCCCACTAAGGAACAAATAGAGACAAGCAGGCAGGAATCTTAATTCCACTTTACTCCTACGAAAATATTTGCTGAGAAAGGATAAAGCTCCCACAGAAGAAATGATACTGTTAAACTTTAGATCTTAACTCAAATAATCTGTCCCTGAAATCACACAATTCTGAATTATTCTGGATACTTGATATATTCTATAGCTTCTCCAATTCTAGAGAATATAAAAAAAAAAGCATAGTGGCTGACATAGGTCAATACCTCCAGTTGCAAGGCATCTGATTCTATCCTCTGATCTTGCTGGATACTACACACATGTGGTGCGCTTTACATGCAGGCAAAATATACACACAAAATAAAAAATAAAAATCTTTAAAAAATATATATTTTTAAAAGCACAGTCGGTTTTTCCTCTAGTTTTAAATTTATGTTAGAAGACAGGGCGTGAGGTACGAAAAGGGCTTGGGGAATGGACTAGAGAATAGATAACATGGATATTCAAGACCCCATCACCTGGGTCACAGAGCATCAGGCTGCCTTAGGAGAACAACTAGTTAGCATCAGACTCCTCTTATTAATGTATATGATGTCCTAAAATAACACAACCCAAGCTTTTCCCTGTTTTTCCCTAAACCCTTACTCTTTTCCCTTCCTCAAAGTGAATCCAGCTCAACTGAGAGTTCCAGGCAGTGGTTTACTTGTTCTTTCCCTGAAAAAGATTCATTTTTATCTTTAGCCTGAAAAAATACTGGAAAAGGCCTTTCTACTTATCCTAGGGTAAGGTGAAAAAAGACAAACTGATAGACATGTTAAGATGTGTCAAAAACTGCAATCTCAAATGAACAGCATTCTCCCCTAACCAGCTGGTGTACTTTCACAAGAATACTTGCTTATGCATACATAATATATAGTTGCACTATTTTGATACCTAAAGAACACATCTATATACTTTTTAAGCTATTGGTACAAATTAGGACAGCAGAATTATTTACTCAGCAACAGATCAGAAAAAGCATCCATGGATTTCTACTTTCCTAACAAGATTCATGGAGGCCATCTGAACAGAGCCTGCTCATGGAAGTCAGATTTTTTTCGTTTATATACTTAAGAGTCTCCCAAAGATCTTTCTGCTGTTGCTATTGCTTTGTTATATTTGTGCTGCTTGAGACTGAATCCAGGGCAGGTCTTGTACATGCTAGGCTCTACTTACGTATAGCTCTCGCCTTTCCACGGGCTCGCATAAACTGTAACTGAAACACTTGTGCATTTGCTCATTTCATTTCTGAGATATGGGACTTGTAAGATAGGCCATCTTAGCATTCTAACAATTGCTCATATTCTTTTACTTACAGCCTTCATAGATGTCAGTGGGAATATGGACGGCTGCATGCTGATAGGATATCTGACGTCCAAAATTAGCATCTTCAATAAAAACAGGTTTAATCCTCTGGCTGCCTGGCTCACTCTCATTTCTTTCAGGCTATATAGGGAAAGATAAATAATAAACAACTTTAAAATTATGCTAACAGACATCTTCACATTCACTTTCTCATTTGCTAAGTATATATTCTTCAAAAACCAAATATATGAAAATATTTTAAAACACAGTATCATAATGGCACTACATACACAAATTTCCAACCAGGCACTAGCAATCGGATTAAATGATTGTGATATAACTTAATTATAGAAAGCTTGTCTCCTTGTTTCATCAATGCTAGAGACATTCAGGAATCATCTGAAGCTTCATCTTAAAATACACATTAAGACGTGCATTTTAAAAACAGAGTAAGTTGGGCTAGAGAGATGGCTCAGTAGTTAAGAGCACTGACAACTCCCGCAGAGGACCCACGTTTAGTTCCGAGCACCCACATGATAGCTATCATCATCCATATCTCCAGTTGCAGAGGATCTGACACAGTTCTTCTGACCTACATGGGCATTGCACGCTACATATGCACTTACATGCATGCAGGCAAAACACTCATATAGACATTTTTTAAATGATAAATAAATTTTAAAAATTAAAAAGAACAGTGTGTTACATTACAACCAAATTAAAATCACGCAGTTGAAATAAATTTCATGACTTAATGTAACTAAATTTATGTTAGTCAGCTGATGATAATTTGAAAATAAAATAGCACAGGGGAAAGGAATAAAACAGCAACGAAAGGTTCTTATTTTCTGATATTGTCTTTGTTTTAATTTAAAGTGTTTGAGACTTTCATACAATTATTGTATTTACAGTATTTCCATGCCTCTAACACCATTCCACTTACCCATGTCCCCCCACCAGCCCTCTCAATCCTCTCAATTTCCTGACCACTAATTATTTTTATCTGTTTATATATGCGTGTATTGTACACACACACACACACACACACACACACACACACACACAGCCTGCTGAGTATTTACATGTGCTTAGGGTTGATCACTTGAGACTGGATGACCTAACAAGGAGCTGATCCCTGAGAAAACTGATTCTTTTTCTTTCAGCAGCAACTGCCTGCCTATAGTGCTTTATCTAGAAGTACAACCTTGTGAAATTTCCCCCATTCATGTTTGCATGTCAACTGGTCAGGTCATTATGTAAGTCTTGTATAGATAACTATATTGCTGAGATTTCATGGGTGTGACTTTCCTGTCATTTCTGGAAGGCATTATTTAGCAGCAGGCATCCTGGTCCTCTGGTTCTTACCTCCTCCCCGAAACTTTATCAATGTTCACTGAGCCTTAGGTGTTTGGGTTGCATTTTAGATGTATCAGTTGGGGCTAGGAAGCCTACAGTCAGTACCTGTTCTCTACATTATGACCAGTTGTGGTCTCTATAACTCTCTCCATTTATTGCAAAAAAATAAGCTATTTTAATGAAGGGTGAGGGCTACACTTATCTGTTGGTTTAAGGATTAATTTTTAGGATTCAGTAGAAATTATATTAGTTTAGTGAAATGGAAGTAGTAGGTTTTCCTCTGGGGTTTATGACCTCTCCAGTCATGGGTATTTGGCTGCATTTGCAGTCATGCATTCCCTCCTGTTAAGCTGACTTTAAGTCCAGTTAGACAACTGTTCCTTATCCCCAAGATAAGAAGGCCAGTATTGTCCCATTAGGGGTATTGTGTTTGGCATATCGTTGCTGTGATTTGTAGGCTTTACAACTAACTAGGACTGTTAACACTTTTCTCCCTTGGCAGCTTGCATAATACCTTCCAAATTTACAAGTGCTTGTCTTCAGGGAAGAGGCTTCCAGGTAAGTTCCAGCTCAAATTTGCAAAGTCCTGTGTTCGAGGTACATAGTATCTGCACTAATAGGGTCTTATCTTCAAGTTCTGGGAGTCAAATAAAGGCAGTGACAATAGCCTATAGTTTGGGGAGTCTCTTTGGCTGTCGTTGATTGGAAGTTTCCAATGCCTGCCATTGGATTTTTTTGAGACTAGGGTTCCTGGGTGGAATATTACCACCTGTTATTTGATAAGCATCCTTGATAATACATATAATATATGTGTATGTGTGTACATACACACACACACACACACACACACACATTGCAAATAGTTATGCCATACAGGGTGATTCTGTCCTTTTTCTTGATTTTTGCCTCCTTTTCATGAGAATCGAGTTTAGCTTTAAAAAAAAAAACAATGTGAGGAAGAAAACCACTGTGGCTCTATAACTAATTCTAATTTGGGTCAATTGGTTTCCTAAGGTAGGAACCAAGACTCAGACAGTGACTTCAGCCAATCTCCTAGGAGTTAAAGCCAAAGAATCATTTGCCATCCATCCTAACATGTGTCAAACCAAAGTAAATGACCAAAAAAACCCCATAAATTATCTGGTAGAATACGGCAAGAAAATAAAGTCAGAAATTTTGCAAAGAGGAGACAGCTTGTTCATTTATTGTCCTGCTATGTTATGCTATTATTGATACATTAATGTTTTGAAATTAAGTAAATAAATATTAGTATCTCCAAGTACTCAGAAAAACATATATTCGTTTTTTTTTGTTTTGTTGTGCGTGTGTGTGTGCACGCACTCATGCGTACATCTGTGTATGTGTATTAGAACATTAGAAAGGCTACTTAGACAGAAATATTAGCAATATATATCTTCACAAAAACTCCTAACCCTTGACAAAATCCTTCATTATGTGGCGAAATCAGTTAAGTAAGCCATGATCACATTATTTTGGCATAATGAAGCATTATTTTCCATAATGAAACGTAACTAGTTTAGTGAGGTATCACCCGTGTCTATTTGGGAATTGGGAATATAAAACTGGTGTTTTGGTAAAAATGTTGGAAAACAGAACAAATCTTTTTTTTCCCATTCAAGCAAATCCACATCTATGTAGTTTTTCTTTATTAGCAAACTGAATTAATATATTAATGAGTCATGCTGAAAGCCTAAGATTTGGTAAAACACATATATTGAAGGATCACTTACCATACTCTTCAAAAACATAGGTCAGATATATGCAGAATAAAAGAGGAGACATAGAGCAAGGAAAATGACAAAAGGGGACCACAAAGCAAAACGCTATTTTCCCCTAGAAATGGCACACACCTGCCTTGGGTACACTGGATCACAAATGAAAGACAAAAGTGATGTTGGAGCTTCTTTTTCTTTGAGTCAAATATGATTTTTGACACATTTTAGAACTCACACTCTATACAGTCTATTTTTGATACTATTGACATGAATAAGAGAAGGGTACATTATAAAACATAACCTGCATTAATAACATGGCATACAGGAAATGCTCAACTAATGAATAGATATAGCAGTAGGGCTCACCTGCAGGTATGCTGGATGAATAGCTACACTTATAGCAGTAGTTTTTCAAAGTGCAAGCAATGGAAAATCATCAGACTCTTGGGCCTAGTCAAACTAAAAGAGCAGAAGTGGTGTCTAGAATATTAATATGTCTAGGGGATTTAGGTATAAGCAGTGATGTACAAGTCAATTAAACTAGCACACATGATCATTTCATAGAACCCTCACGAGAAAAAGCACGAGTAACAAACACAACAAAGGACGTCTAAATTTTGTTAACTTCCATGTATAAGTTTTGTGAACTGTAAAAAATAGATAAATATAAGCAGTAATATTTGTTAAAAGATATTTCAAAAGACAACACTATCTGGAGCTACTGCAATTATTAACTCTCTCCTGAATTATGTTGGGGAAATAGTACACGTTGAACTCCTCTGTTGAGAGAATAAGGGCACTAGTAAATCCAGTCTCTGGGAAACTGCTCTAAATACAAATTTTGAACCCAATGTTTTAAACTGAAGTTATGCTAGAAGCTTTATAAATGTTTTTAATATCTTTATTGTTGTTGTATGTGTGGATACAGAGTCTTCTGGGTGTTAGTGCACATGTGTGCTCATGGAAGCCAGAAGTGAAATTTAGGTGTGGTTCAACATTAGCCACTCACATTTTGTGAGTCTGTCACTGAGACTATGCTACGCTGACTAGCCAGTGAGTCCCAGGGAGCAGCCAGCCTCTGCCTTCCTAGTGCTAGGGTTACAAGCTTTTACCACTAGTACTTGATTTTTTAAGTGAATTCTGGGGATTGAATGCAGATTCTCCTGTTTCCATGGCAAGCACTTTATAGACTAGGGCCTAGTTCCATAGGGCCTAGAACCTTTCTGTTCCCAAGAATTCCTTACGAGAAGCATGCTTAGCAAACACAGTAAAATGGCATGGTGGAAACTACACATGTGAGGAAATTTACCCAACTCTGGTACATATACTTTGCATTTGTTTTTAAATAGGATGTTTTAAAAGCATATTAAATAACAAAGAAATAAAATAAAAGCTCCTTTATTTGGGGAGTAAAGCTTGAGGAAAGAGGCAGAAGAAGAAATGGATTCACATCAAATGTCAGCAATAGTATTGGCTTTGAGGTTAGAAGAAGCTATTTTACTAATTGTTTTGGGTTCTCTTTTCCCAATAATACAATAAACATTTTATATTTACTGAACAAAAACATTGTCTTTTCCATAGAACTGTTAAACATTGCATACTAATACTTTGCTGTTGTTTAGGTTTCTGGAGACAGGGTCTCCCTGTAGCCCCCAATGCCCTGAAACTCCCTATGTAGACCAAGCTGGCCTTGATCTCACAGAGACATGCCTATCTCTGCTGAGATAAAAGGCATGCACCGCCATTCCCAGCTATTATACACTAATGAAGATGAAAATTGGTCTCAATTTCCTCTAAATTATAAATTAATATATTTGAACACATTTAGTAGAGATTTTGTATTTGAAATGATGATGTAAAGGGATTTTAAGACAAAACTTTAAAATAATAGCATAATTTTCTATTTGTATAATGATATTTCAAGTTTTGAATTAATGTACAGGTGCCAAATCTATCAATGAAAAAAGTACCATTGCCCTGTGTGGGGGACAGCTTTTGTTTTCAACTTCACACACCTGGCCAGAAGGATCCTCAGTTGGGGAACTGCCT